ACTTGCTTTTCCGGAAGTAGAACCAATCCGATTCTTTTTTGCGATTTTGAAAATTCGAGAATGACGACTGTGTAATGATCCACAAAGTGCTTCAATTTTGAGGCCGCGTCCTCTTGTAAAAATTAGGCTGGAAGAAAACAGTGGCGATTACGAGAAAATCAAGCAGAAATGATACAAAAGAGCATACGAAGTTATTACGCGGGAAAGATTTCATAAGGAACGAATGAAAAGAAAACCCCATGAAACAATTACCAATAATGAAGGATAGCAGCTCTGAACTGAACTTCTCTAACTTTCGAATTCTCATTGGTTAACACTCAAAATTCAATTAGACTATAAATAATAGGGTTGTAGGGAAAGTTCTCGCGGTTTTTGACACATATCATTACCTTAATTTTTTATCAACAAGAAAACATATTAGGAAACAAAGTAATCACCATCACGTTCTATCACTCTTCGCCATTTTTCGGGCAGACTTTTGATGCCTTCGGCAAAGAACTTTTCTGGCTTCGATTCAAAAAAGTTGCTCAACCAGAGCTCAACGTGCTTCGAAAAACCGCGAGAACTTTCCCTACAACCTAATACAATACTTGCGAGAGTCTGCCATTATACGAAGTTATACGACTGTAGAAATAGCTAAAAGTCAACATCAGAAAAGCAAGAACTTGTCGCGTTGCCATTTATGGCCTGGTCTTACACTTGCTTTCAGCATAACTCATACGGTGACATGATATGTGCAACAGCATGGAATGACTTACTGGAAGAGTTGATCTTTTCATTAGTGTTCCTCTTCTGAGAGCCAACTCATCTGACACCATTTCTCCATAGGGCGTTTGAGTAGTATTCAAAAGTAGCAGGCGGAATGTGAAAATCGAAGGGCTTGACTTAAGGACAGAATTCACGATGAAAAGTTAGCTCATTGGAAATAAGGGTAGAGGTGGTCAGTGGAGCAGGGATGAAGAAGAAACCATTTGAAACGGCTAAAGACCCGAGAAATGGGACCCCTTCCTTGCCCGTTGAATTTGCGCATTGATGCGACTCTCATTGCTGTGCTTTTTCAACACTAAGCTCCCTCTGCCATCTAATCGCTTCGTCACGTGGTAAGACCTGCGAGCGAAATAGATTAGATATGTCGGTGGGTACCCCGCCAACCGACAAGAGTGAGCGGCTAGCATCAGTGAGGTCAAAATTTTTTGCTTCCAATTAGGTTTGGTCAGCGCGCTCAGAAGACCCGCCTGTTTTCCAGCCAAAGCAAATTTCCCCTTATTTGACCTTCCTTCTTATCGGATTCCTTCTTTAAATGCTCGATAATTATAACAGATGATCTAGGAGGAAAAGTTTGCTTACTACCAGGCGAAGCTAGGCCCAATAAGGAGAATTTAGGCTTTCGCGGTATAAAGGCGCGCCAATAGGAGCACCTATGGAGCACCATCCTCTCACATAAATTTTGAGTGGCATCCTGGAAGGAGTGTGGGAGGGGCATTGCGACATTTGCGCTGGCACCAACTGCAAATCCAACTCTCGCACGAACTGATACCCGCTCGGTGAGGTGAGTGAACCATTCCACTTCCGCTTTTACATCCATCCCTGGATCACTTCTACGGGTACTTGGTATTCAGCTGGTAGGTAATTCTTGGCTTATCGTCACCACATGCTACCCGTGCGTGTTTCATTGTTCAGGCAACCAAACTGTTATTTGTACTAACTGCCTTTACAGCGAAGCGGAGCGTCAAGAACTTGGATACACACCACCATTTCCAAGAAAGCGCCAGCAATAAAATAAACTTCGAGAGCAGCCGTCCTTTGAAAAAAGCGTGCACGCAGTTAATCTAGCGTGACCACAAAAAAGCACACGCATATTCATGGCATACTTCATTGAATTATGTATATAATATTGCCCAGCGGCATATCACAAGTTGAGAACAGTTAAATACTCCTACAGAATTACACACGCATGTTAGATAATTTGAAAGCATTTCGACAACGAAAAAAGAAGTATTCGATAATGGGGATCTAGCATAAGCCATTAATGGGCCACTAACGCCATACAAAACGGGATGAGCGAAAGGAAAAGAATGGTACAGGTAAAGGAAGAGCAATAAGTAAACCAGCGAAATCAATAGAACGATATAGGAAGCCAAACACACAATTAGCACATTCTATGTGTATGTATATACCGGTAAGCAGCCACCACATTGGCCGAAAAAAAAACGCTTCTTCTTCAAAGAACTATGTTCATATCACAGAGAGCAAGTCAGAAGCAAAGCCCACAACGGCAACGCATCTATTAAGAGCTACGGCACACACATTTACTAACACCATAATAAACGACAATAATTTAACAATCCGAAAAGTTCTAACATAATTGATGCGAAATCGTTTGTAAACCAAATTAAAATACCATAACAATAACTAAATTGACGAGATTTCCTATGAAAACATAGGGCGCTAAAGGCAAGGCAAAGACTACGACAAAAACAATTCATCAATCGCTTCCGATACGACTTCATTGGCAACACGTTCGACAGCATCAGCAGAAGATGGTGGCGACGGCGGTTCCATAACTGCAATCGTCTAATTTCAAAACCTGGCTGGGCTACCCAACAACTGTGGAAATGATGACAGCAACTCCTCGACACCGTGCAACATCAGCTCAACCAGGGTATCGGTAGCTTTGATTCTGGCATGCAGCTCTTACAAGTTTGTCAACCTTTGCCTGGATTGCCATTACAGAGACTGCGCTTTCACCTCTCTCTCTCTCTCTCTCTTCTGCGCATTAATCTTTACCAAGTATGTTCCTCAAAGACAGCTGCTATTAGAAGGATTCATTACTCTAGGGCTATAATCCGTCTCTCTCTTCTCTTCTCCTTTTCTCTTCAACATAACGGTGTCAAATCGAGCAACACCTCGATCACAGAGTGAAAAGCATAGTTGAAGATATCTTCCCCGGAAAATTCTTGCATTCTTTCCCTACATGAATTTTCCAGTTGTGACCACACGAAACAAAATGTAAGGTTTCACGCGCGCGAAGACAATTGTCGAAGAGCGGAACACAACCTCAGGGAAAACCACATATGGATGGTCGTAAGATATGGTGGCCCACAGAGCGCATTAGGCGGCGCGTGGAAGAAGGTTGCCTTGGACGCGCCACCTATCAGGCGACGCATTGGAGAATCTCAATGACCACGGTTCGATTTTTAAAGAATTTAGAGTCAGACACGCATCGGATAGAATAGGAGTTGCGTAGAAGAGTAAGGTGTTAGTGCATAAGTCAAAAGGTCAAAGAAGTTCCTAGTGGCCGACACTTCGAGAATCCAAGTGGAAGTATTTCCGTCGCCAGCATTTGTGGAAGAAGTACGGCGGGAATCTGATCGCGTAACAGGTCGTCCAATTTTTCGAATTTTTTTTACCAAAAACAAGAACAACCTTCTTAATGTTAAGACAACAATCGTGGCTTATTGGCTGAATGTACACAGAGGTGGCAGAGTGTGCGCTCGTCAAGAGAAAGAGGGAGAGAAAATGGCTCAAAACCCGAAAAGGATCCTTCTGACCACTTTTGATTTCCACTTTGGATGAACTAACGACCTAGGGCTCATTTGCACGTGTCAATCCCGAGAAGCGATATCATGCCAACGAACATCATCCTTTCATTGATAAGGCACCACCGAAAAAAGATAAACTACGGCCGTTTACATGGACACGATGCTAAAATGAAGAGCAGACTTACGCGATATCAATACTCAGCATGTCAAACGAACCTCAACCAAACCTTCGCGGGGCTGCGTCACGGCAGGTGGCGACAGCCACTGTAGACGAGTTGAAGTCGCCAACGGTTGAGGGGGGGGGGGGGGGGGGGGAAAGGCTAACATAAAGCTAGAATGATAAATCTAGACCCTGGTTTCATTGACGGTTGCTTTTTTCCTACTTCCTTTCTACTCTCTGCCAACTCTCCTCCAATAGTTACTGAAGCACAATGTAAAATCAGTTTTCTCAGTGGATGAGTATACTACAGGAGCAATTGGGGGTGTTACCATTATAAAGCGATCACGTAATATTGAATCGACCTGCAAACTCCTCAGCTTTTATAGCGTTTGGTTTAATCCTTCGTAGCAATCGTCCTACGTCCACACGAAAACGGCTCTCAAGGAGCAACATGAAGGGAGAGCACTTCAACGTTAAGTTTGCAAACGGTCTGACTCTGCCGTTCTACAGCAAATGTGGGACTTTGTGGAGGAACACTCCCTAGACTCCTTTTCTGCATACTCAAAGACAAAGTACGTTACTTTCAGCTACACTACAACTTTCAACTGTATAAAATAGTAATCAGTTTCTCGGAATTTCATAAGGATCAATTATCAGGAAAGAATCTATTCATAAACGATCACTCAAGAGTAAACGCACCTGTTCTTTCAGCATTAACCACCTCCGTGTGTGCGACACTAGTGGACGCTGTTTCAGCTTGATCCTATACAAGTAGATCTCTCATTGGATTAAATTATAGAAAAAGAAAAAAACTAAATATCAAAACATTCCTGCGTCGTTATGAGTCAAGGGAAAAATGTTGATTTTCGCTTTCAAAGAATTGCTTTCAATAAGCGGTGAACATATGCAAAGTTTTTAAGGGCGCCAAATCTTTAAATGAGCGGCGCAAAACCTAGTTCAATTCAAGGACTCATGGAGAACTTTTTGATGCAGTGGTACTCTCGTTTGGCTAGAATGGCTCATTAATCCATCGATCATTCGAGGGAAGAGTTGAGAGAAAAGGAATTGAGAAACAGGACGTGAGAATGTCCTAATAAATAAAGGATAAAGGATTTAAGCTTTTGCGTGATCTCTGTTGGGGAGGACGCGTTCACGTTTTTACTCATTTGTACATTCGGCAAGTGGCGGTTTGAATGCTGTGGCCTATCAGGTGGATTGCGGGCGAGTCAGCCGATGTACAATTTCGTGGGTTTTGTTACCTACAGACAAGTTGGTCAATAATTCGACGCCGCTCAGGGATGGAAGCTGGGTTGTGGGCCGTAGGACGCGGAGTCACGACCCAGGATTTATCCCGCTTAACCCGTCCTCGCGGTGGGGTAAAGGTGCACTTGCCACTACCACACTTCTGCCGCCTAATGATCCAATAAGATCGACTAAAACGCCAAAACGGCAGAAACGGAGGTGAGGCAAGTCTACGGTTAGCACAAAAAATAGTGTTGAGGGTACAACCCTGCTCAACAAAAATCACAGGAGATAGCCGAACATATCGCGCAGCGCAAACGCTGGCGCAGTGTATTCCAGCTGGTCCAGTTCGGAAAGTCGGAAAAATGCTCGGATATAGCGAGAATGCAATGCTGTGGCTGGAGCGGATTTTAGATAAAGTGCTGGGGTGAGCTCCATCAATCGGGCTGTCTGTTCAATTTAGGAAGCATCAAGCTCTAGAAAGAAGAATTGGGGAGAACAGTGGACTAACGCAAGAAATGCAGGATTTGAAGTAGGAGGAAGAAGAATCAGTTAAAGGAAAGAGAAGTAAACAACTGTGGACGGATTGTCAAAATGTCGTCACCGCCGATAGCGCGAGTATCCTTTCCCCAGCCTGCTTATTATTACGTAGCAAAATAAAAGCAACTATTGTCTCAATTGGAGCGTTGGGACAGTATGATCGCGAAAGCGAACTCATCTACATAAGAACAAGGAAGATAAGTATATAAGTCAACAAAATCGCAAAACCTTGCAATAGAGAACAGTTAGCTATACCTGATTGGCAGATATTTGAGTTCCATCAGGCGTAGCATTACCGCGTTGTGCGGAACCATCTCTGATGATAGGACGCGTATGAACGGAAACAGTTACTTGCTGGACATCAAGCGGACTTGCAGGCTGAAACTAAAGCACAGTGAATCACAATCAGTCTGTATTATGTCAGATTTTTCAACCGTTTCGATGTGATTGCCTTCAGGTTGAGGTTGGCGCTTAGGAACAATGATTGTGGGCCAGAAGGCCTACGCCGCATCAACTCGCGATGGACAGGTGGGCAGTGCACGCATCATGTCATTGCGAAAATCTTATTGTTATCAATCGAACTCCGCTAACCAGCCTGGGTGTATGCATTTGCTAGGCGTCAGGTCGAAGGTTATCCAACATATTTCCTCCCCCTTCCCCTCCCAGTGTCCGACTCAAGCATTACGAATTGGCCCTGGTAGATTTAGAATAGAAAACAGAAGAAGGCAAACAAACAGAAGTAAACGATTAATTCTGCGAGGCGTCTCTGGAAACTTTATAGCAAAAAACATTGCTTCGACTCTGACTACTTTGCTGCTACCCTAATATCGACCGAAAACATGTACGCGGCAGTTCAACTAATTCAAAGTATAGAATGAAAAGCTATTACTGTGTTTCTATTTTGCTTAGATGTTTTATGGAGCAGTTACAACTTCAAGTTATAAGAAAATCATTGAAAAATCACCGGTGCCGGATCTATTTCCGTCAAAATGCGTTGAAGGCGATCCTGATAGAGTATCAAGGGCATCTCATAATGGTGAAAAAAGAATATCATTGAGTGCTGAAATGGTTCTGAGTTGTAAAACGGTATTGGAACACCCATTACAGAAACACACAGTAAAGGAAATCTACGTACGAATATGAATGCAGTTGAAGTGACAAGCGCCATTCCACCATATTGGCCACCGAAACGGTACTGATATGCATAGAAGAAAAACTGGTAGAGATAGAAAAATCTGAACAGCTTTGTACCTAGCAACTCTGGCGCCTGCTGGACCACTCAGCACAAAATTTTAGAAAAACATAAATAAATGTGCACCTCAGCCAAAATCGCTTGCTCACATGCGAATGACAGCAGATAGCATCGTATTGATCAGCAATCCAAACAATCAATATCACATAGAAAGCCGTGGTAGTGTCTGCGAATACTTCCGACATAATTGCTTCCATACCTGCAAACGTCATTGATTGATGTCAAAAAAAAAACAGAGCTCTTGGATAAAATTTCCTTTCCCCTCGATAAAACCTCACTACGTTACCTATCAAACCGATCAAAAATTAGAAACTGAATTGAAAAGCTGTTGAAAAAAAGAAGTGAATAAAGCGGCAGAAGCATACCGACTAATGCTAGTATGACTGTGAGCAAAGGTGCCGCTGGAAAAACAAGCGGCTGATTGAGCTCAAACATATGTAATAAATCAACTATAAATAGGAAAATCTGGTGGTGTGAGAATCGAAGCAGCATCGATATGGCGAATGTCTGCAAAAAGGGTATAAAGCAAAATTATGAGCGTCTCGTCACACATTCACATTAACAATTTCTTTTACAACTATGTTATTGAAAACATAGATGAAATCGATTGTGGCTGAGGGATTCCCCAGTGCGCTACTTCAAACATCAAGCCTTTAATTGAAAAGAAAAAGATGTTTTCGTGATTTGTTAATGGTTTTCCAACAGCGCCATTCGGAAACAACATTTGTGGATAATTTCTATGATAAGCAGAACTCGTTTCAAGTGAAAAAAGTATTAAAAACACCAAAAGACACAACACTTGAGGTTATATGAAATAAGAGTTACACCTGAACATCTCCACTTCATTGGGTTGGTTTCTAGGTTCCGAGGGCACTTCCGATTCAAGTAGTTGAGGCAGGGATAGCCGAGTGGTTAAGAGGTTAGACTCATGTCTGCACCTCTGAAAAACCGCGAGTTCGATCCCTGCCGAGGCTCTAAACCATGCCTTGCAAAAATTGCAAAAATGGTTCTAGTACCAGCGTCAGGCCCAGGTTGACAGGCCGGCTGATGAACACCCCAGTCACACAAATATGTCTAAAGTCGAAAAAGAATCAGTGAAAGCTAGGACGTCACCCGGAAGTGGCGCGCAGAACCCCCGCCCGAGTTCTGTGGTCAGTATGCGAGGGCTACCGAGGAGTGAACGGCCTCGGCCAAAGAAGCTAGTTCGAATTGGGACTCTGAACGTAGGATCGCTAACTGGGAAGTCCCGAGAGGTTGCTGATCTGATGACGCGCAGGAATATCCAAGTCCTATGCCTTCAGGAGACGCGATGGAAAGGTGCTAAGGCCAGGGAAATCGGGGAAGGTGTCAAGCTCTACTACAATGGAGAAGACACCAAGCGGAACGGTGTGGCCATAGCGGTAGCGGAGTCGCTCAAGGACTATGTCTCCGCTGTGAACAGGATCAGCGATCGGATCATGGCTGTGAGGATAGACACGAAGGAGGGGTACTGGACAATACTCTCCGTGTACGCACCGCAGACCGGATGCCCCGAAGTGAGAAAGGACGAGTTCTACCTGAGCCTGGACGAAGCCATAAGAACGATTCCGGAAGGCGATTACCTGACCATAGCAGGTGATCTGAATGGCCACGTCGGCAGTGACAGGAGAGGCCGGGAAAGGGTGCACGGAGGTAGAGGGATAGGAGTGAGGAACGCCGAGGGAGAGAGGGTCCTGGACCTGGCTACGGCCCACGATCTGGCAATCTGCAGCACGTTCTTCGCGAAAAGGGAGACTCAGAAGGTACCTACAGCAGTGGAGGGAGACATACGGAAATCGACCATGTGCTCGTAAGATCATCCTCCCTGGCGAGGAATTGGCTCCGCAGCACAGGCCCCTCCTGGCAGACATTGCCATGGACCTCCCGAAGAAGACAAGGGTTAGAACCGAGCGGAGAATCCGGTGGTGGAAGTTGCACCAAGCGGAGAAAGATGACCTCAAACGAAGGATAATGGAAGTTGGTCTCCCAAATCCTAACGGGCCAATACAGCGAACTTGGGCAAGACGGCTGAGACCATCCTGCGATGTGCCAAGGAGGTACTGGGCGAGACGCGAGGTGGATTCAGAGGAGACAAGGCAGCGTGGTTCTGGAACGAGGAGGTCCAGCGAGTCGTGAAGCAGAAGAAGGAAGCATACAAGCGCTGGCAGAAGACCCGGAGCCCCGAAGACCTCGCTACCTACAAGAGTTGCAAGAGGCTCGCTAAGGCCGCCGTCGCCAAGGCGAAGAACACGGAGATGGACGCCTTGTACGAGAAGTTGGAAAGCAGAAACGCAGAGAAGTTCGTCTTCAGACTGGCCAAAGCCCGGCATCGGGCTACCCAAGACATCAGGGTGGTGAAAAGTGTGAAAAGGCAGAGATGGTGTCATCCTAAGGAAGCCAGCCGAAGTCAAGAGGAGGTGGGAAGAGTACTACAGTGCACTTCTGAACGAGGAGTTCCCCCACGAGAACAACTCACGGGCAGAGCCACAGCTGGTCCCATCGCACTCTGGACTGAGGATGAGGTTAGGTGTGCACTTGGGAGGATGAAGATTGGGAAGGCGGTTGGCCCAGATGGGGTGCCAATCGAGGCATGGAAGGCGCTCGGTGAGTACGGGATAAGATGGCTCACACGATTCCTCAACAACATAACTGCGGAAGGAAGGATGCCAGATGCCTGGAGAACAAGCACTATCGTCCCCATCTTCAAGCAGAAGGGTGACGCGATGGACTGCTCCAACTACCGCGGGATCAAGTTGACTGCTCATACAATGAAGCTGTACGAGCGACTGGTCGACTCGAAACTGCGGGAGCTGGTCCCGATCTCCCAGGAACAGTTCGGGTTCATGCCCGAAAGGTCTACAACGGATGCCATCTTCATCGCAAGGCAAGTGATGGAGAAGTATCGAGAAAAGCGCCGACCCTGCTACCTAGCCTTCCTCGACCTGGAGAAGGCGTTCGACCGGCTACCACGAGCAGTACTATGGAGAGCGCTTAGGGAACGGAACGTGCCAGAACACCTGGTCTCGCTGGTGAAGGACATGTACGATGGGGCGAAGGCAGCTATACGCACCCACACGGCCTAACGAAGGAAGTGGACATCACGGTTGGGGTGCACCAAGGGTCAGCTCTGAGCCCGTTCCTCTTCCTCCTGACACTAGATGTCCTGGTGAAGGGCTCATGGAAGGACCACTAAAGACCATCCTCTACGCTGACGACATCGCCCTGATAGCGGATAGTAGAGAGGAACTACAGGCCAAGGTGCAGCAATGGCAGAAGGTCCTGGCAGATGGCGGACTACGGCTAAATGTCAAGAAGACCAAGTTCCTGAGTTCTGAAGAGGGTGCAGAGCCGATCATGGACGGGCATGGTGAAAGCATCGAAAGAGTAGAGGACTTCCGATACCTTGGAAGTGATCTGGCGGCCGACGGCAGTGTGGACCAGGCAGTAAAGGGGAGGATCAACGCGGCATGGATGAAATGGAGGGAGTCCACTGGAATCCTCTGCGATCGAAGGTGCTCCAGAGCGCTCAAAGGGAAGGTGTACCGAACAGTGGTAAGGCCTGCGATGCTCTACGGCAGCGAGTGCTGGCCCCTGAACAAGAATCACGAAAGGCAGCTTCACTCCGCTGAGATGAGGATGCTGAGATGGGCCTGCGGCTGGACGCGACTGGACAGGGTCAGGAACGAGGATGTCAGAGCGGTCATGCAGACTGCCCCTGTCCAGCTGAAGGTGAGGGAGCAACGACTGCGGTGGTATGGACATGTGCTGAGAAGACCAAGGCCACCCGATAAGGAATGCGATGGACTTCGAAGTGCAAGGCAAGCGACCGCGAGGAGCCCCAAAGAAGAGGTGGAAGGACGTATCAAGAAGGACCTAAGTGAAATCACGGCCACAGCAGAGATGCCCTAGACAGAGCGAAGTGGCGACGACTGACAAAGACAGCGGACCCTGCGACTGCGCGGGACTAACGCTAGGGAGAAGAAGAAGAAGAAGACTCAGAGGTCAGGTATCGAAAAAACTTACGAATATTAGCATGACGATAGCTGCAGTGATGTAGCTACTTTTGGACATCATAAAGGAAACGAAATGGAAATGTTCATTAGTAGATAAATCATGAAGATATCCAAGTCCAGCACCGTCTGAAACAGACTTACTCCAAACAAGACCTATATCGAAAAATATGGAAAGGACCAGAAACACAGGATGGCTCAGAAACATGAAGAAAACTTAGAAAGAATCAAGTAATAAGCTTGCTCATGGGAACGCACCATCTTCAGAAGAGTTTTGAGCAAGAGCGCGAAGACTTGCCATAACGACATCTTCAAAACCAACTACGGCACGCATAACGCGGCGAGAAAATGTATCACCGAAACAATCCGAATCAGCATCTATCTGGAAATGAGAGTTTTCTTTGTGGATGACATCAAAACTAAGGTTCAAAACAAAAGAAGCTTACCCTTGCCCAAAGCGTTGTAATATTGTGCTTGTGACGGAAGGAAACTGGAAGGCGTAAGATACCATACAACAGGGAGTACTCAACCCGGTATTCATAGCGGAATGCGTCTTCAGGTTCTGAATTGCAAAAGTCATACAATCAGATTCCACTCCGAAACCTTAATGAAGTAAAGTATGCCCCAAAGAAAAGGAAAAATGAAAAGCTAGGGAAAGGTTTACATGGAGTCTCACCACTTCGGAGACACCAAAAAAGTCTGAATCATTCGTTTCACGATAAATGAAAGTTTTGTCTACAGCTCTAGAAGCACCGCCCACTCTTCTTTAGCGAGCCCTCCAAAACACCCTTTAACCTTTGTTATTAATCACCTAGGGCTGTTTCGCTTCCTTCCCTAGCTATCAGTTTTTCCATGGCACATAATATATTTGGATGGTCTATTTGCTCTCTGCTAAAAAATATTTGTACACCATTTGAAGTGAGATGCCTTTCATTGTGATTTCTCCACGAAGAGCTACCTTTTAATGTGTAAATTGTATGTGAACATTACTCAAAGAATACTCACTAAAATGCTTTCGAAAATGCTCGCCAAACGCTGTTTCCGCATCAACCTCCTGCTCATATATACTGTCTCCATATTGACTGTCGTTGTCATCCTACAGAAGCAATACAGGATACAGGGTAAACTTATTAATTCATCGCAAACATACCGTTGTGTCTGCATAGTCAGGTGAGTCGTCATTGCTCAAAAGCAATTCAGTGGGCACGCGAAGGAAAAAGCTCAGCAGACTAGACCCACTGTGTGCCTCTCGTTCACTGGGCTAAACATTATGAATTACATTGATAAATGAGTCTGCAGAAGTAACCATAAGAATACCTCATCTCTTTTCATCTTTTGAGGAGGTTTGCTACGTCCTTCGCGTACCTCAGCAGGCATAGCTCGAGGGCCGTACAGTAATACATCAGCCGGATTGAATGAACATGTCATGTGGCTCCGTTCATTTTCTGCAAAAAAAAATAAAGAAATTCCTCTGGTCACTACTTCTCAAACTAGACCGAAAGATACCCTACAATTAGTGAACAGCCAAAGAATAAAATCACTCACTATACCAATTTATCCAGTTCTCCTTGTACTCAAGTGTACGAAGATTGTGTACAACTTCAAGCCGTATAACTCCTAAAAAAATCGACTTCTACCACAAGTATTGATGTGTGACCATTTTGTCCAGTCGAAAAACTTATGAACGAAAATAATGGCGACAGAATAGGGATGCTCAACAGCATCTGGGAAAGGGTTAGAAAAGTTTGAAGGGATATAGGTTGTGATAGTGCGCCGAGCTGGTCTAGCTGGATGCTGGAGTGGGAACAAAGCAAGTATTATGCACATCAGTAATTTGTTCCCATTCTACCTGAACTCATCGGAGATCAATGCATCAGAAACATCAAAGTCTGGCGCTGTCAATTCTGATCCTATTTATCCTTTTGAGCGGAAATCAGCAGCGTTGAACGGTAACAAAGGTCAGTCTAGGGAGAGCAGCAATGTTTGATTTTTTTCACGCTTTCTCTTTGTTCGCATAGTAATCGCTGTGATTGAAATATCATGACAGCATCCCACACAGAACTTTAGCGAAGAAGAAAAAAATTAGCAAGAAAGGTTGCATGCATACGTATCGTTTCAGCCAACCCTGCCCCCTCTACTATTTACGAGAAACCATGGCTCTCCGAGAGTCGAGTACCTATACCACACCCTTCCATTCTTATTTAGGATTCCCCAAAACGGTAGAATTTAGGGCCAATGTAGTGTAGGCTTCCCATGTCTGAACAATTCCAGAACAAGTTTGAAGGCTAAGAACGGTCGATAATGAAGTTGTAGAAGGCAAGCTGACTGCTAATGGGAAAAAAGCAAAGAAAACCGAGGATGAAGCCTTCAAACAGGGACTCCCTCTGTTCCCCCTTGAAATAAGGAAGGGGCGGAGCGGACGAGTTGTGCGAACTTGCTTGTCAAGAACCGTTACTGCTGAAGACCTGCAACTGATTTCCATTGTTAGGAAGAGACATATAGCTTCCCAACATTACAGTTTCTGAGACAAAGCGCATACGTTTGGTCAAGAAGCATTCAGAATTCCAGCGCAGACGGGAGCATCAAATTGAACGGTTTGAAGGACCGAGTTCAAATGGTCCCTGTAGTCCCGAAACGATCGCACATGTCTACGCAGTCAGGCCCGCGAGCTAGAAAGTGGGCGGAGCCGAAGATTAAGAGCAACCAAGGCGTTCAAGTTAATTCTAGCGGCTTTTCAAGGAGAGTTTTTTGTTCAGAGACATTTCGTAAACCCTTGGCTAGGGGTAAGGGCGCATTTATAGTCGGTCGTCCACATGTAATGATAGTAACGATCGCACAGCATTAGATACGTATCGATCGTCCAATCCTCGGACACGTCTGACGATCGATACGCATCCAATGCTGTGCGATCGTTACGATCGGACGACCGACTATGAAAGAGCCCTAATGCATCATTTCCACTTCATTAATAGTAAAAGTATGAACCCTGCTGCGACTGCTGCTTTAAGAATATTCCTTGTAAGCACTGCGACGAGATAAACGGAAAGCAAACTAATGAGTATATTTCCCGAACAGAAAAATGGAACGCATTTTTGTCTACCAGCTGTATGCGCAGCTGTGGCCAATGAGGAAGACAAGAGCTACCACGCTATCGGTGTGCCACAATAGATCCTCTCAGAATCCACATGAGCATTGAGGAACTATTGTCTAAGGCAGCATTCATAATTCACAAATCAGAAGATTCGGTGATTCCATCACTCATAAAATTCACTGAATGTATATCAATCCGCACATCAATGAGTTGTTAAGTACTTCTTCCATTAGGATTGTTGAACCGCCTCAATCGCCGGGAATCATTCGCTCAGGGAGAAGTCCGATTAGTCGATCTCACCTATGCTTTTAGCGGAATTGTCGACTCGCCAGAATCGTCAACTATGCCTCTACCTAACAACAGCTTGAGAGTTACAGTCGAAATCTCGAAGTCAGATTAGGCGTGGCTATGGATTTGACGTGGCCTTTGCCGCACTTGATAAAAGCCGTGAGGATAGGCTGTTTCTAACGTACTCCATTGATATCAGCAGAGCATGCTTATCCGCGCAACTTCCATCAAATGCGGCGGCCGCCACGTCAAACCCATAGACACGCCTAATCTGACTTCGAGATATCGAGTATACTTGTTAAGAGAAATGAGTTAAAAACTATCAAATTGAGGAATATAACGAGATAAAAGTGAATGCGATAGTATGAAATCTGATATCACCGGCAGCAAAATACATACCATCTCTTGGCCATGTGTCCCGAATATGATCTAGACATGTAGCCGATGATCGGGTGAACATCAAATGAACAAATAATAAAGTGAATAACAAGCACAAAGCCTGCAAATGTTTCTTTAAAATTCGATTGAGAAATAAATTTGACGGTAAATCGAACCAAAGGCAAAAAAACTTACTATTAACAATGAGATGAATTCGATGATTCGTCGCCAAAACATGCTCACATGTGAGCTATAACTGAGAGCGACTTTGACCAACATCGCATGGAATAATCGATCGCGTACGACCCCAAATTGAGTGTTGTTCTGAACAAAAGCTTACTTACACGACATAATCAAATGATTGTTGTCTGAATGACGATGGACAAGAAGAAGAATTGAGGAACCACTTCAGCGAACCTGTGCTTGAGCTCTTGCATCGCCATTTCGATTTTGCTGCTGATTTACTGGCGGAACGTCGACGTCAACGTTCAATTCAACAGGACGTTCGGCCATTGCGGCAAACAGACAACCAGATGATTAGAGTAAGATACCGTTTCCGTAATGAATCTCGAAACAGGACAACAACATGTCAAGAAATCTGGAAACGCATATAAAGAGTAGGAGAAACAATTCAAAAGAAATGCATTTGGGAACACTATGACTAGAATGAAAAGCAAAAAATGAGGAATTTGGATACTAATGAAACACCACAATCAACTCGAACAAGTAAAACTGGAACCGGGTGGAAACAGGTTTGTGAACGACGACGAATATCTGTCCCCGATACATATTGCGCACGAACGCCTGCGTACGAGAACAGGAATAGCACCATTCATGATGGACTAGAACATAAAAAAGAAGCTGGACTTCAAACCCGCTCAATAGTAATGATTTCATTCCCGATGTATGTAAGCTGAACGTCTTGGACTTCTGTCACAAGGACAACTATGAAGGCAAAGCAAAGGGTAAACTTGACGTCAACTGAAGCGTTGCCCGTACTTGCGGAGAAACTGCTGGTGACACGTCATTTGTCGCAAAACCGGCTCAAAAGGCGATCTCCTTGGCGTGTGGTCCCCGCTCGCTGCCAATCACCCCTTTGTGGGCTTCAGTCCTGCCCACCGTTTTATCTGTCAGTCTAAATCGGTGACTAAGTTGTAAAAGGGGGGGGGGCCAAAAGGGAGAACGCACGCGTGGCGCGCGACACTCGCTCTCTGGTACGTTTGCGACTTCGGGAAATCCTTCGAGCCCCAAGGAGAGTCGGCAATCTAGGATTTGGGGGGGGAAAATGAGCCAGCACGACCATGTGTGAAAACGGAACGTTCGAGTACCACTCACTGAAGACGCCAGGCGAGCAGTGTCGCGCCGATCCGCGTGGTCCGCCCCAGCCAGGGTCAGACCGTGCGTTGGACAAGGTATCAAGTTGCCGACGAAAAGGGGGTCGTATTCGCAAGGTCAATTCCACACGTCGGTGAGGCCATAACTTTTAGTGGTTTCCTTCAACTATTAACCAAAATGAGTGCATGCGTTGCATGAGTGTGTTTGGGTGGTTTTCCGTCACAAGATTCTTTTAGCAAACCACGCTTTTTCCAAAAAGGTTTTTGCATATTGTAGGACGCATGTAGGGAACACAAAACCATGTTTCATTTTCGCTGAACGGTTTTAGCAGTACCAAAAAAGAAGCATAAGGTACTGTTAAGGGTTCGATCCCCCGTGGCGACTAAATTTTGCATTTGGGTTGGCGCCTACGGTTTGGTGCCAAATCGCGCTAAATATCAAAATCAGATGTCAAATTCATCGTCAGGACCATTTTGAAGCCAACAAGTGGCCGCCAACCAAAATTGATGCAAAATTTAGTCGCCGCGGGGGATCGAACCTCAGAGGGTACCATTTCACCACTTTCTGATACTACTAAAACCGTTCAGGCGAAAGCGAAACATGGTTTGTGGTCTATACATGCGTTCCTTTAATACGCCACAAACCATTTCCAAAAAGCGCGGCTTGTCCTCAAAGACCCCCTTGTCAGAGCAGAAACGTCTAACAGGGGGTGCTAGGTCATCTGTGACTGTTCACGCCTCACAAAATTAGTTTCTGGATGACACCAATGTCTCAAACTGAACCTTACGTTAATAAAGATTGACCACTTTGGTAGATGACTGCCAAGTTACAAAGAAAAGACTTTTTTTTTTTGGCAAAATATTTGCCCTCGTTGCGACTTCCTCGAAAAGGTTTAATATTGTTATTGAAGAACAAAGCTTAGGCAGGGATAGCCGAGTGGTTAAGAGGTTAGACTCATGTCTGCACCTCTGAAAAACCGCGAGTTCGATCCCTGCCGAGGCTCTAAACCATGCCTTGCAAAAATTGCAAAAATGGTTCTAGTACCAGCGTCAGGCCCAGGTTGACAGGCCGGCTGATGAATACCCCAGTCACACCAACCATGTCTAAAAGTTGTCAAAGAATCAGTGATAAAGCTAGGACGTCACCCGGAAGTGGCGCGCAGAACCCCCGCCCGAGTTCTGTGGTCAGTATGCGAGGGCTACCGAGGAGGAACGGCCTCGGCCAAAGAAGCTAGTTCGAATTGGAACTGTGAACGTAGGGTCGCTAACTGGAAGGTCCCGAGAGGTTGCTGATCTGATGACGCGCAGAAAAATTCAAGTCCTATGCCTTCAGGAGACGCGATGGAAAGGGGCCAAGGCCAGGGAAATCGGAGGGAGGTGTCAAACTCTACTACAATGGGGAAGACACCAAGCGGAATGTGGCCATAGCGGTAGCGGAGTCGCTCAAGGACTATGTCTCCGCTGTGAACAGGATCAGCGATCGGATCATGGCTGTGAGGATAGACACGAAGGAGGGGTACTGGTCAATACTATCAGTGTACGCTCCGCAGACAGGATGCCCCGAGAGTGAGAAGGACGAGTTCTACCTAAGGCTTGACGAAGCCATCAGATCGATCCCGGAAAGCGATTACTTGACCATAGCAGGTGATCTGAATGGGCACGTCGGCAGCGACAGAAGAGGTCTTGAAAGGGTGCACGGAGGTAGAGGAATAGGAGTGAGGAACGCCGAGGGAGAGAGGGTCCTGGACCTGGCTACTGCCCACGATCTGGCAATCTGCAGCACGTTCTTCGCGAAAAGGGAGACTCAGAAGGTCACCTACAGCAGTGGAGGGAGACAGACGGAAATCGATCCATGTACTGGTAAGAAGATCATCAAATCGTGAAGGAATCAAGGTAAGATCTCTGCGAAAGAACTGCTGCGCTCACACACGCCGATCCTGCAGACATAGACATACGACCTTCCGCAGAAGACAGGGTAAAATCGAAGGAGAATCCGTTGTGACAGTGTCCGACCGATCCAGAAGAAAGCGACCTCCAAATCGAAGATAATGGAAGTTGGTCTCCCAGATCCTGAGGGACCAGTGCAGCAGACTTGGCGCAATGCAGCTGAGATCATCCTACGATGCGCCAAGGAGGTACTGGGAGAGACGCGAGGTGGATTCAGAGGAGACAAGGCAGCGTGGTTCTGGAACGAGGAGGTCCAGCGAGTCGTGAAGCAGAAGAAGGAAGCATACAAGCGCTGGCAGAAGACCCGGAGCCCCGAAGACCTCGCTACCTACAAGAGTTGCAAGAGGCTCGCTAAGGCTGCCGTCGCCAAGGCGAAGAACACGGAAATGGACGCCTTGTACGAGAAGTTAGGAAGCCAAAAACGCAGAGAAAGTTCGTCTTCAGACTGGCCAAAGCCCGGCATCGGGCTACCCAAGACATTAGGGTGGTGAAGAGCGTGAAGAGCAGTAACGGTGCCATCCTGAGGAAGCCAACTGAAGTCAGGAGGAGGTGGGAGGAGTACTACAAAGCGCTCCTGAACGAGGAGTTCCCCACAAAGACAGCTCGCAAGCAGAGAGCGACGGCTGGCCCTATCTCACTATGGACAGAGGATGAGGTTCGTCAAGAACTAAGGAAGATGAAGGTTGGAAAGGCGGTGGGTCCAGATAAGGTGCCAATCGAGGCATGGAAGGCGCTCGGAGAGTACGGGATCGGATGGCTTACCCAATTCCTGAACACGGTAACCACCGAAGGAAGGATGCCGGATGCCTGGAGAACAAGCACTATCGTCCCCATCTTCAAGCAGAAGGGTGACGCGATGGACTGCTCCAACTACCGCGGGATCAAGTTGACTGCTCATACAATGAAGCTGTACGAGCGACTGGTCGACTCGAAACTGCGGGAGCTGGTCCCCATCTCCCAGGAACAGTTCGGGTTCATGCCCGAAAGGTCTACTACGGATGCCATCTTCATCGCGAGGCAAGTGATGGAAAAGTACCGAGAAAAGCGCCGACCCTGCTACCTAGCCTTCCTTGACCTGGAGAAGGCGTTCGACCGACTACCTCGAACAGTACTATGGAGAGCGCTCAGGGAGCGGAATGTGCCAGAACACCTGATCTCTGGTGAAGGACATGTACGATGGGGCGAAGGCAGCTATACGCACCCCACACGGCCTAACGAAGGAAGTGGACATCACGGTTGGGGTGCACCAAGGGTCAGCTCTGAGCCCGTTCCTCTTCCTCCTTACACTAGATGTCATGGTGAAGGGGCTCATGGAAGGACCACTAAAGACCATCCTCTACGCTGACGACATCGCCCTGATAGCTGATAGCAGAGAAGAACTACAGGCCAAGGTGCAGAAGTGGCAGAAGGTCCTGGCAGAAGGGGGCTCCGGCTAAATGTCAAGAAGACCAAGTTCCTGAGCTCTGAAGAGGGTGCAGAGCCGATCGTGGACGGCCATGGTGAGACCATCGAAAGAGTGGAGGACTTCAGATACCTCGGGAGCGATCTGGCAGCCGACGGAAGTGTGGATCAGGCAGTGAAGGCACGAATCAACGCGGCCTGGATGAAATGGAGGGAGTCCACTGGAATCCTCTGCGATCGAAGGTGCTCCAGAACACTGAAAGGAAAGGTGTACGGGCAGTGGTGAGGCCTGCGATGCTATACGGCAGCGAGTGCTGGCCCCTGAACAAGAATCACGAAAGGCAGCTGCACTCCGCTGAGATGAGGATGCTGAGGTGGGCCTGCGGCTGGACGCGACTGGACAGGGTCAGGAACGAGGAGGTCAGAGCGGTCATGCAGACTGCCCCTGTCCAGCTGAAGGTACGGGAACAGCGTCTGCGATGGTATGGGCACGTGCTAAGGAGGCCACGGGACCACCCAATAAGGAAGGCAATGGACTTCGAAGCGCAAGGCAAGCGACCGCGAGGTGCCCCAAAGAAGAGGTGGAAGGACGTAATCAAGAAGGACCTAAGTGAAATCACGGCCACAGCAGAAGATGCCCTAGACAGAGCGAAGTGGCGACGACTGATAAAGACAGCGGACCCTGCGACTGCGCGGGACTAACGCTAGGGAGAAGAAGAAGAAGAAGAAGAAGAAAAGCTTGTGCGATGTCATGGTATCATCATTCCCTATAGAATTGAGTTTGGAGGGAGCTGTGGGTGCTTGAGTGTTGAAAACTCGCGTTTTTAGGAG